TTCTTGTTATGAGCTTTTTTCTCCTTGCTCTTGTTGGTTTATGTTTATATTTTTTGTTCTGTTTTGTTCTGAAAAAATTCAGCACTTTCTCCTCATAACAGCTTTTACCTTCTAAATGGGCAGTAGCAAAAAAATGAAATAACCTCTTATGAAAATAGCTGTCTTGAAAATTTCACTGGCTGAAAACCATGTTTTCTAATGCTATAAGGCACGTTGTCCGAGAGTTTCCCGGCCCGCTGAACGAAGTGCTTTGCCATCTTGGTGTGCATTTCAGGGGGATGCTGTCCTGGACTCTTTGACCTGTGTAACCGTTGTGTTTGCTGAGCGATGGTGACTAGCTCTGTGCATGTGTGAAGGAACAAGCCAGGCGCTCGCTTCCCAATAGCGCTGACTCTCTGGAGTAAGCCTCCCTGGAGAGGTTTACAGGTAAACTTTGTTGTCTTGTGTTCATCCTGGGCTGAGTACACAGTCGCGAGAAGTTCCCAAGACACAGTGGAAACTCGCTAAGCTGCTGTGCTTTGACTCTGTCTTCAACTGCTCTTTGGCACAGTGCTTGATTTCACTGTGGCAGTCAGGCTGAGCTGCTCCCTAGCTTTGCCAAGCCCGATTTGCAGTTGTTTATAACTTCTCCCATCTTGTTTACCCTTTGGACAGATGATGGTGTTAGCACAGAATTGAATTTTCTGTGGCTCTGTCATATTTGGAACATAATAATTAACACCTGAACTTCAAAGCATGGTGCAGCTATTAACCTCCGCAGGGGCCTGTGGGACATGAAGTATTTAGTCCTGATTGTGTAAAGGAAGAAATTGCAGTACAGACAAACTGACAGGTTCAAGGTCTTGTGGAGAGCTCAAGAACTGGCATGTAGTAAAGCCATTCTCTGCCTGTGCTGGATGTGAAAATGTACTTGTTATGTGTGTCGATGGGCGTTAATGGGTTTTTGCTTGTCTCTGTATTGAAAGATGCACCAGCAAAATTCTGTTTAACAAAAACTAAGTGCTAAAATTGAACCACTTTTGAGGGCAGCAGTTGTATACTCTGAGCCCATAGGGTTGTATTTTTCCAGCAGAGAATAGACTACTTAGAGCTCTAGAGCCCAGGCTTTCCAAGGAA